TGAATTTATGTACCTAACGCTGCTGTTCATCAGTCAGTATTGTTACCATATCCTTTTTCTCTCTATTAATTTTCCTCAGTAGTCTGCAGGGATCATTTGCCAGCTTGTTTCCAATTCCTGCACCTTCCTGGCGCCTTGTTTTGTAACGTCTTGCATCGTGTACTTTCCATTTCTGTAATTCATTTAATTCAAAATACTGGAATGGCTTTGCAAGTATTTACTGCATCTCTTTCTTCCTTCCAGTAGGAGATTACAGGTCACGTATACAACTTAATACAAAGTCGTTTGGCTTCTGGGATTATTTTTTTTCTTTTATCCACCAGGAGTGGGGGTATGTGGAAACTGTTGCCTTTCTGTGTGTGGGTTTTGTGAAGGTTGCTCAGATCAGGGCTTGGTGGTGCAGCAGTTAAACCCTGCTGTCAGTATCCCCCAGCGAACTATGTTACTGTTGCTGTCCTTAGCTTGCAAATGTTGTGGGTTTAGGGTTTGCAATAACGAAATTCTGTTGCATCAGTAAGAGGTTTTCCATTCCTATTGGCTCTGGAAATGGATATTCACAGTTGGGTGAAGTTCATTTTAATCCTTCCAAAACTGGAGCTGTATTTGTACGAGTTGTCATTGTTCTGCTTTTGGATCCTCCTGGGACTAATCCAGGAGCTTGCAAAATGCTCGGGGTGCCTCTGGCTGTGGGGCAGAGGGGTTGGGGTTAGGCCCAGCATTATCCCCTCCTCCTGTGCGTTCCTGCCTTCAGCTTGCTCCAGAAAGGTGCTGTGCTGTGTTTGCAGTCTCTACCTTCTGATGTGTCTATATATGTGTATAGATACCATCCTATGAGGTAGAATCATTATGCTGGCTGTAAAGAAAGAGGGTCACAGTCCTAAAGGGAAATGATTTTAAAGCAATCTTGACCGAGTCTAGTAAAGCCATTTCAGACCACTTAATGCTCAGCCAGTCCTTCACAGCATTTGTGATACGTCCTCTTTACTTGGAAAGAGTGGCACTAATGCTTGTCAAGAGATGAAGAAAACCACTGATAAACTACAGCACAGGGTTGGGGTGACCGTCCTTGGAGGCGTTCAGGGACTGCGGAGCTGTGGCACTGAGGGTCAGTGGGCACGGTGTGGGGGGTTGGGGTTGGACTTGGTGATCTTAGATCTTTTCTGACCTTAATGATTCTGTGTTAGGGGAAGGCAGAGTTCAGTGCCGTTTGGTACGTGGAGCTGAGATCAGCAGCAAGCTGAGAGATGCTCTGGCCAATCTGGTGGGAGAGGCAGGCAGCAGCTGCAGGTGTGCTGGGGTAGGGGGGCGCAGAGCTGGCACTGCTTCACGCAGGTGATTTTCTTAATTTCAGTCCCTTGCAGCAGATGGATAGCCACGGCTCTGTGGGTTTACAAAGCTCTGAGCCAGTACCCAGGAGAGCCAGAACAACTAGTGGTGAAATGCTCCACATCCAGTTTTTGTCCTTTAGAGCTCCTGTGTAATTTTATTGGAAAACAAAAATTGTTTAAATAATGGAACAGACCCAATGAAGTTGTGCAGTGATGCAGAAGGGGTGAGGAAGGGTTATTTCCTTTCTTTCCATTACTTCTCCCCTCCTGCCTCGCCTCCCAAGTGTGGGTGAAAGCTGCGTGTCAGGCACTAGCCCGGCCCGATGGCTTTTCTTAACAGCAAGAATAAGATTAAATGCAATTAACATCGATTGAACAAAACCCGTCCTCAGTTTGCACTCCAATTAATTAATCAGCCATCCTTTCAGTGGCAACTCTCTGCAGAGCCCTGTTTGTTCCTCCTGGCCCTACCATTTTCCAGCACGTGTCCCAAATGAAAAGAGCTGAGCGTGGCCTCCTGCTCCCCGCTGTGGCTCTGGGGCTCCTGGCTCAGCCAGGGGCTTCTTGCTGCTTGGGGACTGCAGAGCTGCTCAGTCAGTGGCAAAGCGTTTCCTGTGAAGCGAGGCTGATGATGGGAGCTCTCTCCGAGTTAGAACAAATGTCTGGAGGAAATCAATGTTAGAATGCATGAACAAACAGGTGAGGCTTGGAATAGCTGGAGATTGGCTGTGCTGGTAAACAGCCCGGTGTTCTGGCAGTGCAGGGCAATGTATTTGACAGCACATCCCGGGCGTTTGCTGAAAGTGCTGTTCTGCTGCCCTGCTCTGAGGGCCCTGTCCCAGGGAAGCAGCTGAGAAGTCACCGGGTGAGCTCCTCTGCTCTGCAAAGCTGTTAACGTGGAGAAGAGGGACAACAAAACTCTTATAATAGCATTTTGAATTAATGCTTTTTGTTGCTGCCAGGCGTACTCCGGCCCCTTCGTATTCCAAACCCAAGGACAGCAACTGTTGGACTTCTGAAGGATGAGGGAGACAGAGAGGCTTTTCTGTGCAATAACTGTATGGCACAGAAGTGCTATGATCCATTAGTCAGCACAGCTGCTCAGCAGAACAGCCAATACCCCGAATGTAACAGAACAAATTGCACATAACCAAAAAATACCTACAGCATACATCAAACCGGAGTGACTCAAATGTCCCTTACAATGCTATGGGCTGCTAATAGCCCCACAACAAATGCCTTATCCAGCAGAAAGGCCTTGGACACCCATCTTAGGACAGGTGAGGATTTCTGTAGTTTGTTAGTGCCTCTTTGCAGACGAACAGAGATGAAGAACTGACTTGGTCACGTTACTGAAGTCTGGTGCATGCCTACAGGTCTTCTGGGTTTGAGAAAACTGCCTGCACGTGGCACAGAGCTGGGAACTATGGAGATTAATTTCTGCTTTGTCACTGACATTCCAAATGCACTGACTCATTTATCATGGAGGTCTGCTCTCTGATTTCTTCATAGCTACACAGTGCCCAGATGTGCAGGCACCATGGTGTGACTGCTTGAAGGAATGTTAGTACAAAGTAAGGCATCCACTGAGGACACTTGCAGGGTTTACCCTTGTGAGACTAAAGGCTGGTTAAATAAATACATCTTGGTCCAGCTGGGGCTTGGCAGACTGCATCTGGCAAATCCAGAGGGAAGAGGTTCCTTAAGGCCTGGAGTTCATGGGTTTCACCTGGAGCCGAGGCATGGAGCATGGAGAGGATGCCGAGCCCTGCTCTGGGACACAGCTGTGATGGATTGCCTCGAACCCCATACTGAAGACACAGTTCTTGTAGGTGGTAGTGCTGGGCTGGAGTTTTTCGAATCAGAACCTGGTGTCTACCTAACACTCAGAGCAATCTGCTCTCCCTCTGCATGAAGGGAACTGGTACCATCACCATCCTGATTTATCAGTGAGTGCTGCATGCTTCAAGGCTGCTTGCATCCTGAACTCTTACCTAATACTGCAGCAGAGAACATCCAGAGCTGGCCGCAGGGCAGTTACTCTGTGATGCATCACTTAACTTCAGGCTGAGCCTCAACTTGATTAATTGGGAGGATCCCATCATGCAGGAACAGCTTGTGGCTGTGAGCTGCCTGGGCTTGTTGCTTGTGTAGCCTGGCTGGTACATCTGCAATGCTAAGGATGTGCAGGAGAGAAAATGCTGCTCCTTCCCCTTCCTAGCTCCTCCTATCAAAGGGAAGGTAAGCATTGTAGCAGCCCTGGGGCATGTTGCAGGGAGGATTCCAGGTTGGAAGGGACCCCAGAGGGTGCCAAGTCTGGATCCATGGGGCTGCAGTGCTAGCTGGAGTTGAAACACTGGTGTGAACGGCTGGCTTAGCAAAGAATGGGTTTAGTCGTGGAGAAGTGGTGTCCTTCCACACTATTACACAGCGCGTGAGGCATGAAATCAAAGGAACTGTGCTTTTAAGTAGTTAGCCACAGGTTTATGAACTGACAGCTCAGGAACAGCGAAAACAATTTTGTGCATATGGTGACAAGTGTTTTCTTCCATCAACTGCTAACAGACCAGGAGGCCCTCAGAGTCTCCACATGCAGATGTGCTACAGCTGGGTGATGCTCTGCAGGTGCTGCTGGAGGAGGAGAGCTCTGATCTCTGCCTCTGATCTCCAGAGCTATTGGTGTTAATGATGCCTGCACTGCACAGCACATTCCCCAGAAGATTTGGGGCTGGAAAGGTTCAGAGACTGCACTCTGGTTTCCTGTTGTTGTTTGTTTCTTTCTTTTGAAGCAGTGCAGAGTGATTGATAGTATTGTTACCTACATCTTTTGTTCCCAGAAACTGCCCTTGGTGTGAGCAGCACGGCAGGAAATTGGTGTCTAGCCTGTTTGGCATCCCATCAGCTTTTGGCCCAGTGATGGCTGCAAAAGATTTTGGGAAAGCTTAGTCATGTGGCGTGAGATGGAACCTGATGTTTTTGCACAAGGAGTATTTGTGAGCCTCCAGCTGGATGTGTCCTTGGAATGTGGATGGGCCAGGCTGGGAGGAATCGACTGAGGTTAAGTGCTGGCTGTGTTTTCTCCTGGACAAGTAAAAGAATGTAGTTATGATTATGAACATGAAATTGTGTAACAAAGGTTTTGTAAAACTGCTTTACAGAAAAGTTTTTGGCGCCTTCTGTAGGGGTTAACTGCAGAGTGGTCACAACAGTGGCTTTATCACAAAGCAGAGTGTTCCTTGACACTTGACTGAAGTGTTACAGTATAAATACAGCAAATTACTATATTGCAAAATTGACTGGGAGCTGTTGCTGCTTTGCTCATTGCATTTTGTGCGAGTGCTGTTAGAATTTTTTAAAATGTATTGCACTGTGTGAAATTTGTAAGTCATTGATGGTGAGAAAAATTACCTGGGAAATTAAAGGCAGTCAAGTAATATTGATGGTTCATTTGTCAGATTTGTGGCTAAGCTTTGTCTAAATAATTTGGCAAACAATTTTCTCTTAATTCTTGAATCTCTTGAAGCTTCTCTGTTTCACTGTTGTTAGAGACAGGGCTCTCTGTGGAGGTGTGTGGTCAGTGTGGTCTGGGCATGCTGACTTTGCAAGTGTTAAGCAGCGAATATCGGCCTGCTATGCAGAAGCAGCCTAAACAGCACCTTCACCTTCCAACAGGCATTGCCATGTGTGGTAGCAGCACTGTTTTTACAAGGTGTACCAGAAGAACATTTGAGGAACCACAGTCTCCTTCCTAAAAATGCCTGCTACACGAGGAGTAGAACCAAGCACACATCCAGCCCGGTTAGCTGGCTGATGGAATCCCGTGCAGCTGGCTGTTCAGCTGTCTTTCTGTGGTTGGCTTTAGAAGGGTTCTGTAAATGTGGGTAAGCACTCTTTGCGTTCCATTTTAAGAGGGTTTGTATCTTAAGCTAAAAGTTCTTAGTAGCGTAGTCTCTGAATTGCTCTCTTATTTTCTTTCCCCTCTTATGCTGGTCCTGCTCCAAGCACTGGGATGAGTGGTGTGTGTTTGGCAGCTGCTGATCCAAGTGCTCCCATGTCCTGCTGGGGCTGAGGCTTAGTGTGGAGCTGTGCTCGTTCCTGCTGCTCAGCTGCCCTGAGCCTCAGCTGGGTCTGTGGCCTCACTCTCCTGCAGGCCATCAGATTTATAAGTCCTGATTGTTTACAACTGACCTTATATTCTTCTTCATACAATCAGCCTTGCCTTGATATCATGACCTGCTCTCTTGCTTCCACAGTCCTCTGTCCCTTGAGTGTCTGACTGCGTTTTGCAGAAGGCAATACCTGATACATTTTCTGAGGAATTTTTTGTAGCCTGTCACTCATGCAGCATTGCTCCTTTGTTTCTGAAAGAAATAGTCCAAGGCCAACAGCTGTGTAACTAACTTGCTGCTTTTTCCTTTGTCTCCTTCTTTTTTTTTCTTCCAGGAGCTTTTAGTTAACTCTGGATAAACATCAGCCACCAAAGAGCAGAGGACAGGGACCACAGATGCTCCCTGGAAGGCCCAGCATCCTTCTGGAAAGACGCTGACCAAAACTGGTGCCTTCTGCCCGTCATGGTCCAAGACAACAATATGATTCCTCTTTTAATGGCCTGCATGTACTGGTCTGTGTGGATGGTTCTGGAGCCAGGCAGAGTGTCGTAGGAGAGGGGAACACTTGCAGCACAACTTGTTGCTTGGAGGCATACTCCACACAGGCCTGGTTCACCTTGTGCTAGCTTTGGTTTCACCAACCCCTGTCTGAGTTTCAAGAGTTGTTATTTTGTCCGTTTGCTCCAGAATTAAGGGACTGAAGTATTTAGAAATAACCCTGACTAGCTTGTTGGGATTAGCTGTTCCTAGCATGCTCTGATTGGCTACACCAGCAGGCGTGTTTCTTCCCTTCTGAGGTTCTCTCCTAAGTAATAAAGTGTTTAATGGTCACTGTGTGCTGTGAGATACTTTCAGTCCCATGAGTTTGTAGATTGCTGTTTCCGACTTCCTACCCGTGCCAACGAAAACTCCCACCAAGTATGGGGAATAGGAGCCTTTCCAATCACACTTTATAAATCACAAAACTTGTTTGAGGTCCCAGGCTGAATGAGGTTGGCTTATTTGAAAGTACTTGGAAGAGTGTAAAGTCCTGGCCAAAGAGAATCAGTGTTGGTGAATCATACTGAAAAACACCCTGCGTGCTGCATGCAGAGCCCTAGCCGTCTTTCTTTACTCTAGTTGTTGTGTGCAGTTCCTGCTCTGCTGTGCACTCCGGTCTTGTTTGCTGGTGTGCCTTCTCGTGCAGCCAAGTGGGAACTCCTTTTCTCTCGTCTCATCCCGCAGGAGGAAGGTGCAGCAGAGACACCTGTCAGTAAAACAGGAACAGGTCTGGTTTGTAACTTCATTCCCTTTCTCTGCCTAAAGCTTCTCCTCCACTTGGCAGCTTCTGCTGCTCGTGTCCTCCTTGCTGTGTCTGACAGGTTCTGAAGAATGCGATCGTGGATTTTTGGAGGTCACGTCAGATTTTAACGTAGTGTTTGTGAAAATAAATGAGGGGAACTGAGAACTGTTTTCTATGTTATATTCTGCTTTTGGGCAGCAACTTAGAACTTCATATCTTCATTAAAGCAACTTTCCTTTTGAGAGCTGATGCCACAAAAGTTCCAACTCTTCATCACTGTGCAGGTCAAACTGGGTATCTCCAAAAGAAGGGGGGTTTTCCAAAGCAAAGCAGGATACGGTGTGTCCTCGGGTCTGTTTGTGGCAGCACTGGGTGGGCTTCTGCTGGGACTGCAGTGCCGGCTTCTGGATCTGCTTGTGATGGCTGGGCTCTGCAGAGCAGCAGGACTTCAGATGCTGCATGTGGAAATGTGAAGAAGCAAGGCCTGTCACTGACTAGATTTTACATCGTCGTTGGTCTAAAGAGGAAAAATACCTATTTTGTCTCTTCTTCATTTTCCTCTTGCCCCCATCTAATGTTGCCTTGGCATAAGTAATTTGCATGTCATTATTTCAGCTGCCCTAAATTGGGGGGGACTACGATGCCAGGGCTGATTATCAGGCAGCACTGGACAATTTTTTTTCTGTTAGGCAACGGTAATACATATCCACGCTCTTTTATAATGAGCTTTATTTACCAAATTGGCAATTCCTCTGTTGAGAAATAACTGATTACAGTATTCAGGGAGTTGCTGTCATCTCAAGATACGCAGGTGTCTGTGGAACATAAACAGATGCGATCGTTCAGACAGTGAACTCAATTGATAGAGGGTAGAGGAAAATATCAGCCATAAAATCATAAATGTAACATCTCCAGTTAATGTTGGCCAGGTGCACTGCGGCTGTTTTGCAGCCCAACAAGGACAAAGTGGCACTCTGAGGCCATGCAGCACCTCCAGATGAGGGACTGCTTGATTATTAGCCGAAAATGTACCTCTTGCACATCATCCTTCAGCATTGTGTTGCCTAACCCGCAGTCACTGAGGACAGAAATCAGTTCATCGTGCAGCATTAAGGGTTGGAAACTGCTCTGTCCTGCCATGCTACGTTGGATTTTGGTGATGAATGGCTGCAGACTTCTTGGTGACCCCAAGTGTGGGGATTGGGTTTCAGCTGCCCACTCCGCAGTTCTGCCCCTTCCTTTGGTGATGCACAGCTGCCCCGAGTAGTTTTGTTGCTGTGGTTGCCCTCATCATCAGCCTGCTTGGAAAAAAATGAGATGTTGATGGGAAACTGCTGAAGATGAAGTGCAGTTTGCAGAGCCACAGCTGCCATTCGGGTGAAAAATCTACAGGTAATGCATCTTTGAGTGAGAGTTTTTTCATATTCCTCCCCTGTTCCTATCGCAGCAGCCCTTGCAAAGGTGGAAGAAGCCCTACATCCCCTCTTAGGCTCCCTGTCCTTATGTTTCTCCTTAGCTGCTGCTTGGATCTCGGGAGCATTAATCTTTTTTCATGTAAGATTGTGACAGCAGGTCTCAGTTACGCTCTGAAGTGGCAGAAATGGTTATTCCTGGTAGTCAGTGCTGAATAGATGTCCTTAGCACACAGTCCTGTCACAGCTGGAATTAGTGGGCAGCTTGGACTGCAGGATAAACAAGAGCTGAGTCTTTTGTAGATGTTGAATGGGAGGCAGTTTCCTCCAAGGCAAGTTTGAGGTAGGGTAAGGGCAGCAAGCTGTGCTGCTGTCTGTGCCACGTGTACTTGATAAAAAGGAGCTCTGCCACGTCCAGGACTACGATCTTTTTCACCTACCAAAACCAAAATTCCCAGTGCCAGATGCAGCGCTCTGCTCAGCTGAACGGCTGCACATCCATGTTGCCCGCCTGGTTGTTGTGGTTCTGTGTGCAAATTGGGTAATTGCATGTACAGATGCACCCAGCAATTCGGATGCAGTGTGCACAGTTGTGCTAATTTCATGTACAAATACAGGCTTTCAGAGTGCCCACTTCACAAGTACAAATTGTTTTAAAACCGACCAGATGAATGGAAGGAATAACCTTTTTATTCATGCATAATTTCTTGGTGTCACAGAACAAAAATAGCGAAGTAAGAGGAAATAAAGCAAATAACAGAACTGATAGAAATTTTCCAGTAGGCTTCAGTAGGTTTTTAAATGAAACATTCCACAAGCGCTTTGAGATTCTGGTGTGCAAGGACATCTCGGGCTCTCTGAGCACCAAATTTGTGATCTTGCATATGAACACAAGCCATTGCCTCCTGTTGTTAATATTTCACACTTGGCTTTGCAAGATGTTTTATCTAATATCCTCTCTGCTTTCAGGCTTCAACCAATCCTGCCTTGTCCACAACAGGAGAGGCTGGAGGAGGAAGGCAATTGCCAAGCACGTCTGTAATCTATGTAGGAGGGTTTTGTGTAGCTGTAGAGGGAGAAGAGTAAGTCTCATTTCCTATTTTATAGTCTGCTGAATCCTGTGATCTCATGCTGTGTGCTCCTTTTCTAGGCAGAATTTTTCCATTTGTCTTTTGAATTATTGCAATTTTTTTATTTCCAAACTGGTTAAAAGTGTTTGCAGCTTGTCACTAAATTATCTAATTCCCTAAAGCGTTTCATTGCCAGTCTTCTATGTGTTTCAGGACCATGTTCTTTGGTTTGCCTGGTGCCTTGGTCTTCTCAGGTTAGAAGCAGCATTGATGCTCCAAGAGTTGCTGTCATTCAGTGTTCCTGGTTTAAATGCAGCCTGTAACGAGCTGCTGCACCCTCTTCTCCTTTCAGCTGGCACAGCACTCTCTGGGAAACTCACGGGAGTCAGTTGGGCTGCTCAGAGTCCTGCAGGTCTGTAGCCTCACACCTGCTCCTCTATTTATTTTTTTGTCCTTGGAGAAGATGGATGTGATGCTCCCGAAATGACTTGCCTGACCTTCTGAGCTGTCAGCCTTATCACTGTCCTTTGTGCATGTCTTGGCTTCCCATCACTGTGCTGGGAGACTGAAGGGTGATGGGGACTGGAGCGACTAGTCTGGGCCGCCCTCTGCTCACTGGGATTGTTGGGGCAGAAACGATGCTCTGTGTTAATTACCCAGCAGTGGTCCTTGCAAAGCCTGGGGCAAAGCTGGAGGGAGCAAAAGGAGCAGCTGTTGGTCTCAGGAGAGCTCCGTGTCAGAAGTGCCTTGGATTTAATGGCACGTGCTCTTTTCAGACTATACAAAGGTCAGCACGTGGCAGTGAGCTTTCCTTTGCCATGTTACAAGGAGAGCAGCAAACAAACTTACAGTTTCCAAGTTGCAGATGAAATCGGCTGCTCCTTCTGGGGTATGTAACAAGCTGCACCTGATGCCAGCTTCCCTTTGCAAATGGCCTAAATTAGATGTTCTTCCTGCTTTTGCTTGATGGAGAACTGCTTGGTCCAGCAGTTCCTTTTGTGCAAAGTGCTACGAGATGTTGATGCTTGCGTTTGGTTCCTTCTGCCTGCGGTTGCGTTATGTGGGAGTTATGGCATGAAAGGCTTGCTACCCCAAGGGGAACAGGGAGTGGGAGCTGAAGGTTCCTTCTGATTCCTAACTTTGCCCCCTTCATGTTTTGTTTTTTTTTTTGTTTTGTTTTTTAGAAGTAAGTATAATTTCTGATATCTTTGGGGTGTATTTGCTAATTTGCATGAGCCCAAACCAAGCCCTTTGGCTCACAGGGCTCTGTTTGGAGGGTCAGGATCTGCTCGCCCTCTCACAAAAATCCTCCCTTAATACTGAATTAGTACAGAGTTGATAGCTGTGGAGAAAGTTGTCTTCGTTTCCTATCTCCTACTGCTAATATTTATGGCAAGCTGGTGCATGTGGTTCAGCACATTTCTTATTTTCTCCTATATTAAACATGTTATCATCATTAAGACTGGGAAAGATTACTGGGTCACCCAGACTGCAAAGTAGGAAACAGCATAGGGCAGGAGCAGCAACAAGGCCTTGGCTTCCTGGACATCATGCTGGAAACTCAGAATCCTTTTGGATTCTGTTGCTCCTTTCAGATGTTTGGGTTTGGTTTTTTTGCTATACCACTGAGGACTCATTTCACTGATGCTGGACCTGCCCTCCTCTGAAGGCTGTGTGCTTCGGTACGTTTTGGCCCAGTTGCATCATTAACCTATGTACATACTCTGAAGGATGTGAATGATAATTTCAACCCTACAGCTGATGGAATACCCACCCGTCCCATAGATAGCCTCAGCATTCGTGCTGTGAGTCAGCTTCCACCTGCTGAGGCTGTGCAGGTGCAGGCACAAGGGTCCCTGCTTTGGTACGTGGCGTTGGGCTGTCATCGAGGTGCTGGAGTGGCTCCAACTGGCAATTATTTTTCTTACAGCTTTAGATCAGTTTTGTATTATTTAGTTCTTGAACTGCCTGAGCAAATTTCTATAATGGGCACCAGCTGAGGGACGTCAGCAAGAATGAAAGGGTGTTATTTTTTCCCTCCTACGACTGCACGAACATCCTTCTGCA